ATGAATATATTAAATAAATGTAAAGAACTCAAATGACAGAAGGCATTCTCCCTTCCCCATATGCTAACATTCCCTATTAAATAAATACCTAAAGTCAATAAATATAATAATGCATTATATGTGTCTGATGCTCGTGTTTGTTCTCCATATAAAATCAGCCATATATAAATGAAGTTATGATGAAATCATTACCTTGCCTTTGTCTCATTTTGACAAGTGAACAACCGGTGAAGTTAACAAAACAGGGAGATAATAGAAAACATTTTAGAGTAGAATTTGCTTTACAATATCGAGCAATCCTAAGTTGATTTATATAACTTACTTTAATTTTTATTTAATTTTTTTATGGTTAATACATACATACATATATATATATATATATATATATATATATATATATATATATATATAGGTTTCACTTATTTCTATTTTTAGTAAATAACTATTTATTATAGGAGGGTACCAAATATTTACTCATGGTAGAATTGTACAATATATCCACTCATCAATTACTATTTTAATACAGTTTTAATTCCTCTTGAGAATCCCTCATACAACAATTAATTTTAATAATTTGGCTAAACCGAACAGGTAATTAAATAAAACAAATTAAGGCAACCCATATATGTATACGCGAGAATATAATGGCAGTTGAAAAAGTTTAAGTGCATTGCATGGAGCATGTGATGCCGAAATTTAATTAATATAGAACAACTGGAAGTTCAGAAAGTGAAAAGGAAAATCTGAAAAGGACTTATTTGGATAAAGTCTGAAGCATTTCAGGGAAAGTTGGCCAGAAACCAAACCACAATAATGCGTCATTTATTAATGAGGATGGTAAGCCTAACAGTACTTGGAGAGTTAACGTCATTACTTAATGTGTTGATATTTTAACTAACAGAACTATTGAGGAAGCCAACAACTGCACCTTTCATGTTATTGCTTCTAATCGATCATCTTAACCGGAAGCAAACTGTATGTTAACATCAAAGAGGAGATGTGCTTATGATAATTGGTGTGGTTCCCATCAAGCATCAAATTAATTTATTGCTTTTGTTGGTTAATACAATTATAGATAAGAATGAAAAGAATTCGCCGCGATGATCTTTTATTCTCACGATTTCTCTCACACACACAGATTAATTAAATTTAAAGAACCAATTAATTTTGATTGCATAAACCCTTATAGGCTTGATTTATCTCATATTTTTACTCGACAATCAGAGTGGTCAAATTCGACCATTATCTACATTTGGTATAAATAAATCCTTCGGATCTACGCACTTTAAGAACAAATTTTGGTGTTGACAGCTGAGGCTGCTGTCCCCATTTCTTAATTTGTTTGGTGTTTCTTTTGGGCTTTAGCCCCGTTTTGTTTACTAAAAAAATAAAATAACAAATTTTGAGACACTTATCTCATTCAAGCCACTCTCACAAAACATATTTAAGTTTATAGAGTGAGTTTGTCCATAAAGTTTATAAGCAATAATATATTTATCATCAATTTAATTTAAAGTATATTGTGATTTTAATATACAAAAATTTAAAACTGAATATGTTTTAATACAATCTCATTTTGATTTTTCTTTATATTCCCAGTTTCCCACCATGGAATAGGGTCTTAAAACTAAAAAAAGAGGAGTCATTAACAAGAAATAGCAACAATTTTAGGAAAGCAATAATAATGTTTGCTTCTTCGCATGTATGTAATTTAACTTGGACTTCCACTTCTCAGAATGCGAAGAAAATAAATACGCGTCACGTACAAATTTGAGGCCATCCCTATTCCCTAAACTCCCATGGCCGAGTGCAATAATTTTAGATGTACAAATACTCGTGGATCCAGGAAAATTTCTTTAATTTTTTTTTGTAAAAAATATTTAAATTAACGCTTGAACCGGTTCATAATCTAGTTGCTTCCATAACAAAGAATGAAGAAATCATGGGAATGAGTATATGTCAGAGGAAGAAGAATAAATTTTCTCTCTAATCAATTTGCGTTGTTACGTTGTTTTAATCATCTCTGTACGTTGCTACGTTGCTAACTAATATAAGAATAAATATCATTTTTGGTCTATAATAAAAAATTCGATCCCCACTTTACTCCATTATAAAAAAAAAAAGTCACCTGGTCCCTATGAAATTTAAAGTAGACCTATTTTAGTGTTTTTGAGATTAATGTAAGTCTTTTTTAAATTTGTGAGGGATCACGATTTTAATTAAATTGATCTACTTTGAATTTTTTAAGGTCCTCTTCGAGACTAATTTTTGGTAAAAGACTAAAATGGGGACTACATTTTTTGTTAGGGACTTAAAATGATATTTACTCCTACTATAAGTATTGAACCAAGAAACAAATAATAACCTACCTGACTAAAAAAAAAAAATTAAAATCCAAAATCTCGTATCCACACTTGGAAGTGATGACATGTGACTCAACCTGGGTCCGCCAGTGTACTATACCAATGCATTACTATCTTTTCCTACTTTTAATTTTACGAAATTCAATTTATTATTTTTATTTGGCATTCAAAGATATTAAAATAAATTATAGCCATGATGTGCTATATTTTGGGTAAAATATCAAAATTGTGGTACCAAACGGAGCAATTAGCAACTACCGACACGTCACGTGAACACATGCAATGAAATCCCCGCAGTGTGCCCCAAGAACAATCGACCTATTCGTACGGAGATATAATTGCATCAATATAATGTTTATGCTATACTGCTATAGAATGTATAATAACTTTATAGAAAAAATATTTGTCCTTTTAAATTACACAACTTATATTCTTTTACTTTTACAAAGAGGTGGAACTCACATCTTTATATTTTTCTGTCCATTCTCTTTTATTCTTTATCTATCTTTTTCTCTCATTTAAAATGACACAATTTTACATTTTTTAAAATAATACACACTTTTTCCTAAGTTTTATAGGTTTCTATTGATTATGAATATAAGTACCCAATCAGTTGAGAATTTGTTTTTTGGCTGACCATTATTATGTTGTTGAAGCTTTTTTAATGGTAATTTGATGGAGCTTACCTATGGATTTTCAAGGAAATTATATATCGGATGTATATGTAGGTATTCTTTTTTTATAGGTTAAAGGGAATAGAACACACAACTATACATACACCCACATCACTAGGCTAGCCCCGGTGGATAAGTGCGAGAAAATAATAGAGAAAATTTATGCTTAAGTTAAAATTTATTCAACCAGATTTAAGTATTATAGAGAAAATAATTGCTTTATGTTTAGAATATTCATATTTATAATTGGGGAAATACCAATTTTGAGAAATCCCCAAATTATATTCAATAAGTGCGAGAGCTGTTCAAATCACCATCAAAAGAGCTTCATCAACATAAATATAGTCGGCGCAAAAATATTCAGATCTAATCAGTACCAACTACCAATTTTGAAAGGACAAAACCTGACCCACAAATTTTATTGCAGACACAAAATCGGAACTTGTTTTTTCCTAACCTAAGATAAACGTTCAATTGTACCAGTGTGGACATGGTTTTTCTTACTTTATACTATACCCTTAAGCTACAATCATGATGATGTATATTTTGGAGTTATTCAGAAACATAATAAGAACTTTTTTATTACGTTTAATAAGAATCTTTATAGAAACATAAACGTTCAATATGTTGCATTTCATTATGGAAAAAACTTTTTTTATTTTAAGTGTTTGCAGTCTGTTTTCTGATAAAAACATGAAATGTGCATTATTTGTTAGCCATCACATTTTCCTTTTCAAAGTTTTTATGAATAAAGCATACCACATTTTTATTTAATTTTTTTTCCTTTAATTATTTGTGGTTGGAGGTTTGTTGATATTGACAAATCAAGAGCGTAGAATGTGGACTGGAGAGTAGCCGTCATTAATGTAATCTTATCTCAACGGATAATATTAATGTGGCCAGTAATTAGATACAGCAAAGGAATATGTATAGTGGTTACAATTTGATTAGAAACACCAACAAATTCTAGACCTAAACCTTTAAATGAAAAAAATAAAGAAAGAAAGATAGATCTGAGTCTTTGATTGCATGCACTGTATTGTTTTGCACAAAATTGTTTGAAAGCGACATGACTGCAAATTAGGTCCGCTGAGTTTGTTTGCATTCTACAAAAGAATATTATTTTTTCTCCGCTTCTAATGAAAATGGAGACTTGTTCGATACGCTAGTGGAACCTTATGGACTACGAATTGAAGAACTGCTTCAACTTTTATCAATTTTGACCCCACTCATTTGAGGTCGTGTGGTGCCAATGCCGTGGCTTCAGCCTCTCACATCCAATCGAAAATTGCAACGTTAATGATTCGTATTTATACAATAACTTGAATATGAAGAAAATAATAATACAATAATAAAATGTTTGGTACGAGGATTTTTTTTAAATTTTCGGAAAATTATTATTGAAGATTTTATTTATCTACTTTTGATACAAGGATTGTGAAATTTTTCTAGGAAATCTGATTTTTACATTATTCTAATTTGTGAACACTTTTTAAAACAAAATACTTTCCAAGAATATCACTAAAGGGTGATATTTTTGTATTCTCATATAGGGGAAAATATTTTGGCCTCCACGCCACTAGTGCGGTGATGGTGCCACAAGCATCAAACAATATTTTCTTCCCGCATCAATAGTGTGGTGATGACACCACTAACGCCAGCAGTGCATTTTTAAAAATCACTCTCTATTTTCAAAATATTTGACAATCAACTAAATATAAAATTAAAAAATTTGAGTCAATACTTTTAATAATATTTTGATCTACTAAATAACTTTTTAATCATATTCCCATAAAATTCATTTTATCATCGAATTCCTATTATTACGAGCAAATGCAAGCATCATTTAAGTAACATGGGTGGTTTTGATCAGGTGTAGTTTGGGCCTGTCCATTGGACATTGTTTCAGAACAAGTTTGGGCCTGGGCCTGGGTCTGTCAAAGACGAAGCTTTGTGGCATTGTCATTGTTGAGGTCAAGGTGCAAATTTATAGAAGAAAGAGATAAATATGCTAAGAGCTGTAGCAGCGGTTCCTCGTACACCCTATTTCACTAGGTTTGATGCATTTCAAATTCAATTAAGTAATTAATATGAATATTTGAGTTTTTTTTTTTTTTTTTTTACTCGCATTGATTTTGTGTTGTGAATGAATGAAGCGTTTTGAGGAAGATGAGTTCCTCAACATCACCAGCATGTCCTAAGTTCGTTTCCGTAGAAGGCTCTGATATACATCGCATAAATAAACCTGATGGTAACCTAGCTTTCGTCTTTATGCTTTGACTTTGACCCCATTCAATTATGTTTAGAATCTCACATGTTAAGTTTTTTGATTCAGGCTTCAGATTCAGTCTTGTCTCATATAACATATTGGCTCAGGTATGCCCATTTCTCAAAACAAGATCTTTTGAAACCATTTAACTTACTTTATGGTTAATGGTTAATATATCACATGAGTTACACTTATTTTTTACTTTTAGTATAAAGAGAATCTCCTAGTGGAGCACTAGCTCTGAAGATTTACTCCATAAATGTTTGTTTGTAAAAAACTTTTAACCGATTATCTGTTTGATATCTTGTTCGGACCCTGTAACTAACTGTAACTGACTAACTGTTTGTTGTCGATGTTTTAATGTAGACTTATGTGAAGAGCTCTTTGTTCCCACATTCTCCTTCCTCGTGTCTGAGGTAAAGTGCTTTGCAATTCAAGTTTCAAATAATTATACATCAATAATTTGATTTTTACCATAATTGATTTTGCTTTCTGTAGGTGGAAGCCTCGTTCAAGTGCAATTTTAGAAGTTCTCAAGAACTTGGGAGCTGATTTTTTCTGCCTACAGGTATTTTTTTTATTTTTATTTTTAATTTTTTTCTGTTTATTCTTGTTCTCTTCAAACGTTTGTCTTGCATTTCAGTTTGTTGATTACTTTCTTTCGAATAATCTTATTCTTGTTATCATTAATCATTTCAGGAAGTTGACGAGTTTGATAGCTATTACAAAGGAAGCATGCTGGAATTAGGGTATTCTTCTATTTATATTAAGAGAACTGGAAAGAAGCATGATGGTTGTGGATTATTTTACAAGCATGACCGGTAAGTTCCACTTTTGTGCAGAACTCAAGTGACTTCTAATTTTTCATAGAGCAGTTTATAATGTGGATTTTAACTAGGGTTACAGGACCTATGACTAGTGAGTGGATAGGATTTTGCACCTGGATACAAGCTTTTTAAATATGGAGTAAGAGAGAATTATAATAACTTTGCTAATCCAAGGGTCCAAAGTCTGTGTTTTATTGGTTTTTAAAATTGAAATTTGTTTAATATTGTTGTTATTTAAGAGAGAATTGGGAAAACTTTTTTATTTAATATTGTTCTGATGCAATTGTTGGTTAATAAGTATACTGATAAATGCAAAAATTCTAATGTAATTATGTGGTAATTGAAACAAGCAATAATGGTACTATGCTACTTATTGATTAATTAGTATTCAGATAAGAGTGTGTCTCTTTATCTCTCTTCAATATTTTCAATCTCATCTTTTGGGGTTAATTGTTGATTAGTTATGTTATTTTTTTATTTTATTTTTTTCATTTTATCTTAACAATGGAATGGATGTGAATCTGTGATTAAATCTTTATTGATGCTCTTTTGGTCCTTATATCTCAACACTTATTAACTTAAATAATCTTTTAAAATTTATCCTTACCCTGTGCTGTTTAGTGCAGAGATGGTCTTAGAGGAGAAAATAGAATACAATGATCTTGTAAAGTCAATTCAAGATGGGAACTCTTCAAATGATGATGAACACAGCAATGTCCAGACAGATAAACAAAAGGATGTTGCACCCACAAATGGTTGGTGGAAATTGAAAGAAAATAGTTCTGTTTGAAATAAATATTTTCTTCTTAATATTAAGTATTACCACGTTTTGATTCTGGAACATATACTGTTTTGATATTGTTATAGACTTACTGATACACTGGTGGAAGCAAGCTTTCTTTCTGCTTCCTTTTTGTGTTGCTGCTATTTTACCCTGCTTTCCTTCCTTCAATTGATATATTTTCTCTCTCTCTCTCTCTCTCTCTTTTTGTTTTTGTTTTTTCATTTTTTAAGGTTTTTTCTGTTATCTTTTGCCTGCATCGATTGTTTCAGCACAGAAAGTTAGAAGTTGCTGTTACATGCATGCCTGTACAGACTACAGAGTGTGCTTTTTCTTCATTAACTGATTTTCTGATCTAGGACCTAAATCGAATACAGAAGATCGTGGAGATCCCAATGATCCTTGTGTGAGACTCAAGCGTCACTGTGTTGGAATTTTGGCAGCATTCAAACTCAAAGATCCCTTTTGTCATGTTGTTATTGTGGCCAACACACATATTTATTGGTAATGAAGTTATTCTGTGCATTTATGTGTGCGTGCTCTTTTTCTTTTTTTCTTTTTTGACATAATGAAATTTTGACTTAATATGGATTGAGTTAGGTGGAAATGGGTTTGCTTAACTTTAGTGGTGGAATTTATAAATGACTTATAAATTTCTGCTTCAGGGATCCTGAATGGGCTGATGTCAAGTTGGCGCAAGCTAAATATCTTCTATCTCGCTTAGCACAATTCAAAAAGCTGGTATCAGATAGATATGAATGCATACCTGAAGTCATTGTGGCTGGTGACTTCAATTCTACGCCAGGAGATATGGTGCCTATGCACTTCTAAAATCTTCTTGACTATATTTTAGTTTTGTCTAGATTCTGTTTCCCAGTGCCTTTGCCGTATTATTTCTTGCCTGACTCTTGTCTTGGTGCTTAAGTTAGGTGCTAGATTAAGCTTATTCCCGAAATCATTTTTATAGCACAGAAGTCCCGCATGATGCATAAATCTGTTGTCAACGCATGGATTAATCCTCAATCTCAAAAGAAAAGGGAAGAATGAAAATAGTTTCTGGGAAAGGGAAATGACAAAATGTGGCCAGAGATATCATAGTTGAATGCTGTACACTTCACCTCCTTTCCCGGGAGAAATGGTGGAGATAGATTTATTTAAAATGATAACCTAACTGAGCTAGTAATCTTTAAATTCTATGAATTTGACTAAAGATCTTGTACACAATTGAATGTTAATAGGAAGGAATTCATAGAAAACTGTTTATTTTTGTTCAAAAAGAAGATGTAAAACTCTTTGTATAAATAGCAAAACCAATTCAACCCATGACGTGATATTGTAGAATGTAAAAAATAGCAGTATTTCGGAGTTTTTAGTTAGAATAAGAATAAACAGTGCGATACCATGAGGAATTTGTATTGCCATAGATCTTTTAGTGTATCCATTGGTTCATCCATATTACTGGAGTCATGCTTGAGCATTTGTTCATAGCTTTGATGTTCTTTCAAAATTTGAGCTGTATTTCTTGCAATGTTCTAACCTATTTAATCTCCCATTTTTTGCAGGTTTATAAGTACCTCATATCAGGCAATCCGTCATCAGAATTGATGTCTGACTCTTTAGAGGAGCCTCCTATTCCCTTATGCAGTGTATATGCTTCTACGAGAGGAGAGCCACCATTTACAAACTACACACCTGGCTTCACTGGAACACTTGACTATATATTATTTTGCCCCTCTGACTGCATTAAACCTGTTGCTTTTCTTGAGCTTCCAGACCCCAATGCAGCTGATATTGTTGGTGGACTGCCAAACTTCAGTCATCCAAGTGATCATCTACCAATTGGGGCTCAATTTGAAATTATCAAGGAATAAATGTTCTTGTATGCCAAGTGCTATTTGAGTTGTCAGTTGTTCATGTTCCATCTCCTTTCCCCTTTCCGAATCTTGAAGTAAGATGAAAGCAAGGCTCTGGAAACAATTGTACAGTGAATAACGTCATTAAATCAACACAGCCACCTGGCAAGAAGGCAAAAAGCAAACACTTTGAAGGAGATTTTGTTTTATGATGAAAATTTCATAGTGTGAAGAACCTCAACACATAGGTTTGACTTCTTACTCCCTAATAAAATTGCAGCTGAATCTTTTTAAGAAAGAACGTGGTTACATTTGTATATTTGACAGTTTAATTTTTTTTTTTATTCTCATATTTTGGTAAGCATATATCTCATTTTAGACAATTTACTCTGTTATGTATTATTGTTGTAGAGAAAAAATTTTGGGGAGTAAATCAATGTTGCCAATCTTCTCTGTTGATATTGAAGTTAAAGTTATAAATTCTGCTTATTAGATAATATCTGTCCTTGCATGCCATTATAACTTACAGGGCCCTTTAGTATTATTACCGTAATCTTTTTCTGTTCGTTATTATTGTTTTTTTATGCTTGTAATATAAGTTCTAGAACCGACCATTTGATCCAGAAAGTTGATGATCATCATGATAGTGATATTACTGGATGGCCGTATGATAACGACTAGCAGTTTAATACTAACCAATTGATTCAAGAAGTCAGTGGTCATTGTCAATTCTTTTTGTCAGATTATATATCACTGTTCTTGTTGGGAATTCAAGTGTGAGTGATAAAATCCAGCATTGGGAAGGAATGAGCTAATCATAACATATATAAGTGAAATGACTCATTAACTCAATGCTTTAAGGTTTTGAATTGAGAATGGTATCTGGTTGGTCAAATTTAGTCTATCGATGGTGGTCCCCAGCTACGGTCGTAGGGTATTTGGAGATAGGAAGAATATATCAATATAGGGTTTCACACTTAAAGGGGAGATTGCTGGGATATTAAAGTATGATAGAGTTTGATATTGATTAATAATGAGCTAAGTGAAGTCTATATAAGTGGGAGGATCTCTGAACTTGATATTTTAAGATTTTGGGTTGAGATATGATATTGGACCCATGAGTTCTCTAACTTAGACCATAGCAGAATACCTTTCCTATATACTATCAAATTCTGAGTAATAATTTATTATTTACTGATGGTAATAACAGAGTCCTCCAGTATGGAGTTGCTAATTTCAATAGCTTTTTTTTTTTGGGTGAAAATTTCAATAGCTTTTCTTTGCAGCGTTGGTGCAGCAACTCTGTTAGATTGGGAGGATAATTTATCATGATTATATCTTAAAACAATTTGGCATATTTTAAATGACTATTTAGGAATAATTTTTATATTTATTATTTCATGATTTGTTTTATATTTATTTAATTTGGATTAAAAAGTTTTAATAATTTGTCTTTTGTAACTTATCTTGTCACATCTTATTGCATAATTATAGATTACAAATAATATTCCTAGTATCACCTTGAAAATAATTTCTTCTTTCAATTGTATTGAGTTCAACGGAACTCGATTTCCACCTAATTTATATTTTGTGTTTTTTGTTTGTTCTGAATTTGTGTTCATCCCATCTTATCACAAACTTGCTCCATTTCATCTTGTGTTGTAAACTCAGTGCGTTTCATGTGAACTTTTAATTAATTGGCTTTCGTCTCCTTTTGGGATATATATATATATATATATAATTTAGAGTATTTTATATATTTTCATAAGAACAATCTTATATTTATTTATATTCGATGATTTACTTATTTCTTTAATCAAAATTAAAAGCATAATATTACTATAAATAAAGACTGGTATTTTGTCTTTTTATAACATATCCTATCACATAATTGCACACTAAACAATATTCGTGTAGTCCTTTCCTACTTATATCCTTATAGTTTCAACAAAATCAATTTACATGTTTTGCTAATATAGGAAATGTCGGATTACATTTGTTTCATAGCTTAATTTGCTCTGCATTATCTTTTAATGTTAACGACTCTCATCTGTGTATTCAAGTGATTCTTGGGTCATTTTATTGTCACATCATCTCGTTAGATTGCAGCAGGGCCGTCACGAATTGACACACAGTTATGATTGGTGCAATTTGTTTCAAGTCTGGGACCACGAATACTACAAGTTGCAAGTTGGGGTAGGTTTAGCCGTTAATTAGGTTCATGTCCACAAGACTTCACCTTTCCAAGGTTTGTTAAGTTCACTACGCAGTTGCTCCTTCAGTCAATTTAAAGTAACTATACAATCAGTCAAGTATGTGTTAGGCTTCCGCACGCTTCAACGTGTGCTTCATTATAAAAAATGGAGTTCATGAACAAAGTTTTCTTTAGGCAAAGTTCATATTTTAAACATGTCAATGATGAAATCATTTTAAAACATTTAGCTGTCACATTGCATTATAAGCCAATAGATGAAGGCCTTGGATAATAGATCCTTGTCTCCGAAATTTGAACCAAACCCAAAGACATATGGTGGGGATCCTTGTTTCAATGGAAGGTAAATACCATTTTTCCCTTATGCCATGGGAAAGAGTACAGGGTAACCTTATTCCTAGGGTCAGTATCAGAAACTTTAATTGGGGTGCCGTGTGGGGCATCAATTATTTGACAGTTCAAATAATTTATTTCCTGAAGTAGAAGCCGGTGCTTGAACCAAGTTCTCGAAGGAGCGAAAGTATATGCTCAATACAAAGTGAAAATTCTTGGTAGAGAATGATGACATTATTAACTCTTGAGGGCATTTGGTTAAACAAAGAATATATTTCACTCACGAGGGAGTAATTTGATTAGACAAAGAATGTGTTGAGGAACTAGAAAATTCGTTAACAATTTCTCAAACTCGTTGACAAATTCATCATTACATTCTCTATCAGGTTTATTTCGGGACTAAACCAATTCAATATCAATTAGCTCAAAATCTAGCTATGCACTAAACTCGGTCTAAGTACACAATATTTAGCTTCCTTTTGAATTTGGGTTTTTTATCATCATATAACTTTTTTTTTTTTTAATAACTTTTAGGTTCCTTGTTTGAAAAGCTTAGCCACTAGTAGAAGCAAACAAATCCATGCAAATGAGTGGTGACAAATTCATGTCTCATCTCAGAATGGGTATGGTAATTTGGCACATGTGTTGGTTTGATTTCAGAATTTTTGTATCCAAGTTGACAAAGAAATGGAATATGTAGGCTACAATATGCCATAATTTCGGTTGGACTCTGAGACTATGTGAGTGAGTGAGTGTCTGAATGTTCTGGAATGAGTTTCATGATCTGAATAGATAGTCTTAAACATCAAAAGGGAAAATTTTAAAATTGAGGTTAATTTATGCTTGTCAAGAGTTAAGTGATAGAGAGGGCGTTGGTATATATCCTTTTCCCAATATTAATGCACAGCGCAGCACCACTACAGTGACCACTTCATTGATCTCCTCCGCACTCTGCCTAATCACACTCATCCCTTGTACACAAATACATTTATTATAGCCAGTCTGTGGCAGAGTTATTTTCTTCTCACTAAAGATTCTTGAAAATGTACAAGTGTAGATATCTGAAATTGTTAGATGGTGAGAACTTGTAAAATGAAACTTACCCTTGTACACAATATTGAGCACTACTATTTATTTCTGAGTAATGGAATTGGCTAATATCTTTGCACATACTGATGTGAAGTGATTAATTAATTAGCAGTACTTCAGCAGCGTCAAAATTGTTTGATTTTTATTCATTATGTCGTTAAATGTTATTTGGTTCTGAAAAATGTAAATTGATCACTGCAAAAGTAGGAAACTTCATAGCAAACATGCGCATGGAAGTACAACTTCTAGACTTACAAACATTCATATCCTTGCCTTATATATATATATATATTCTTTTGAACTAGACATTAATTAATACATGTTGCCCCAAGAAAGGAGGAGTTTATTTTGTTAATTTGGAAGAACTGGAACAGAGAAATATGGCCCAGCCATTGGTGCTTCAACGCCCATTCTTGATTCACTTGCAACATCTCCAAGAAAACCATTGTAGAAGGCTTTAACCTTTGTTACTAAGTAAACAAAAGATGATGCAAGGTACGAGAAGCCCAACTTGTGAAGCTTTTGTGCTTGTTGTCGACTTAGATTTATGCTACGCTTTGCACCATTTTCACGTCCTATATTGTGTTCTTTGAAGTTGTCTTCAGGTTGGATGCGACTCTGATTCCTTATTCGATGATATCCATAGCTTTGGCTTCGAGACAGTAAGAAACCACCGCTCCCTCTTTCTCCATAAGAAGTTGCACAGTGCATTGGTCTCTGGCATCTTACATCACTAACAAGTTGTGAAGCCATGTGGTTGGTGTTTGGAAAGACTATAGGGAGATGGTTTAACAAGAGTGTTGTTGTAATCTGTGGAGCTCAAGGAGTGTCCTCTCTCACTCACTCACTCTTTTAAATCCTAACTCAGATTTGCAAAAGATGAGGACCTTTATATAGAGAAGGCCAACTTGGAGAAGATATGTAGTAAGCAAATTTGAGGCCTATACTGTGCAGCCCACTTATAATAATAAATTACTGTTTAGTCTTTTTTTTTTTTTTTTGGAAACAAAAGGAAAGTAAAAGATAAAACAGCAAAACTAAAACACACTAGGCACAAGCTTAGGCTAGTGAACTCCCATTTGGTCACTCAGCAGGCGGTACAAACAACCAAACGGAAGATCATCAAACAATTGGATAAGCCAAGAAAAATTGCTAGCATACGCAGCCAGCCAGCCAGCCACACCATTACCCTCACTATTTAGTCTATTGATCGATGATAATTGGTATTCGGGTTTGATATGATGCCAAATTCATGTTCTGTGAGTCAAATATTTGAGGAGTGTAACCAACATCGTTTTAAAGGACACAATGTTCTATTATTTTAAGTAAAATGACTGTATTTTAATATCATATGTTTCTCATATATAAATACTTGAAAAAGCTCGAATTTAAGAGCAAGTGTTGAAAAATTTAAGTGTGATGGGGTTTGATATTGATTGATAATGAATTAAGTGAAGTTCATATAAGTAGGAAGACTCATAAATTCAATGTCTTAAAATTTTGGATTTAAACATGATTTCAGACCAATTTACTACAGTTAATTTTGTTTAGTCTATTGATGGTAGTTTTTGTCACCTCCCGCTAACAGGAAGTAATAAATGTTAAGATTAATGCTTACAGAGAAATCCTTAGAAATTGGAAGATTAAAGTTAGGGGTGTTTGATAGAGGAGGATTTTTTTTTACCCGAGAATTATGTTTCTCCGGAATATGGTGGAAAAATAAGTTTCCTGTGAAGGTTATCAAAAAGTTGTTTAGTAAGCCAAAATATTACCAGGATTTTTGTCAGAATTTTCATATCTAATTTTTTCATTTTCATGAGAAAGTGAATTTTGGTTTACATTTTACACATAAAACAAAATTCTGGCAAAATCATATTTCTGAAAAAAATTTCAGAAATCTTTTACCAAACATGAATAAATTGAATTATCACTCTCACTTTTCGAGGAATATGAAAATAAATCTTTTACCAAACACCCTCGTAAAGTCTTATATTAATTATGAATAAATTAATTAAAAATCATATAATTGGAAAGCCCTATAAATTCAAATTTTTGAGATTTTAAAAGATTTATTCTATTAGATTATCGTTTAGCCCTGTCATGCCCACCAGTTCCAAGATATGTCATATGGGATTTAGCAGAAAACAACAAATTAATTTTACTGCAGATACTACCGAGGGCTGCGAAATATCGTGTAATAAAAAAATGGGGCCCCTTGAAATACGAATAAGTACAGGACACGTGAAGTGTAGGACCTACTAGGACAAGCGGGGTGGGATTGTCATATTCATTGAATTTCAGTGACATGCAAGTTGGGTTTGGTCACGTAATTGCATGGTAAGGAACATAGCTCACTCTCAACTTGCTCGTGGATGGTTTGTGGAATTTTTCAATTCAGAGAGAGGGTTCGCGATCAAGTGGTTGAATTTTAATTTTCAGTTTCTCTCTTGATTTTGAATCACAAATTTTTCTTTCTCAGGATTCAAAATTAAAGATGCCTTTCTGGCATATATGTGACAAATGCCTTTATTTAACTTTTTTTTTCCTTTTTTAAAAAAAAGAAAGAAAAGAAATTCCACCAGTTCATCAATACCGATTATGCTGGAACAACCACGTGCTGTGTGGTTTATTGCAGGGTGTGCAAAAAAACTGATTCACTTGCTCTATCTTTGATCTAACCTATAAATACCTATTTTTTGAACTGAGTTTAAATACTAATTCACTTTTATTTAGGTCAGTTTTAGACCTAACTTGATTTAATAAAGACCCATTGATCCAAAACTTGACCTACACCCATTACGCAAAAAAAAAGAAAAGAAAATCACAATTACATTAAAAGAAAAGTTTTAACATAAAACCATTATGTGAAAAATTTTTACGGAAAATATTTTCATCAAAATTTTTCGCAAAATTTTTGAAGAAAAATATTTTCATGAATATTTGTGACTAAAACTATTTCTGTAAAAAAATGTGACGGAAAAATTTTTTTGTCAAATTTTTTTACAGAATCTAAATTTCGTCAAAATATTTTAAAAAAAAAACATATTCATCAAAAATTTCGACGAAACACATTTCCATCGAAATTTTTTGACGGAAAAAAATTTCATCAAAATTCTTTACAGAATTCAAATTTCGGCGAAAGTTTTAGTGAAACACATTTCCATCGAAAATTTTCGACTAAATATTTTCGTCAAGTTTTTTGATAAAACAAATTTCCATCAAAATTTTCAACGGAACACATTTCTGTCAAAAATTTTCGTAAAAATTTTTGACACAAAATATTCTGATAAAAAATTTTGACGGAAAAAATATTCTGTCAAAATTCTTTAGAGAATTTAAATTTCGTTGAAAGTTTCGAATGAAACATTTTCCTCAAAACGATTTCCGTCGAAATTTTCGTCGGAACACATTCCCATCGAAATTTTGAACGAAAAACATTCCATCAAATTTTTTGACGGAATTCTTTTTTCGTTTAAAACATTTGATAGAGGAAATCATTTTCGTCAAAACTTTTGACGGAAACTAAATTTCGATAGAAAATTTATTTTTGTAAAAATTTTCATTAGAGAAAAAATTCTGTCCCTTTTCGACAAAAAGTATTCCAACGAAAAAATAATTTTGTGACGAAATTTTCGTCGTTTGCAACGTAGAAATTTCGACGAAATTTTGTGATGAAACCAAGTCAAAAACGGGTCAGGTCATATTTGATCCACTTCAGAAACCAAAAGTCAGACCTACTTCAGAAACCAAGTCAGGTCAGATCCGACTCGATTCTGAACTAGTTCAAAAAAATTCAAACCAAGTCAAACCTGACTTGGATCAAATTAAAGTGAGTCAAGTCAAAATATCTGACCTATAAAAATCAAGTTAGGTCAAGTTGGCACAAAAACCTGATCCGACCCGACGCATGCACACCTCTAGTTTATTTAACCTTTCTTGTGTAACATATCTAAAGAGTGTTAACCGTCATAATCTTTAAAATGTTTAAAGACTTGGTGCTTGTTTGTTTTACATTTTGCAATCCTTAAAATACGTATTCAATTAAAAGAATTGATTGCTACAGTATAACTGTGTTTGGTTGAAAAAATTTGGTGGGTAGAATCAATTCTGGTTCCTAAAATTGATTTTAGGAGAAGTAGACATTTTTAGCTGTTTTGTTGAAAAATATTTATTTATTATTATTTTTTTGTTTTTTGGTGAACGAAAAATATTTATTTTTAAGTGTACGTAGAACCGCAATTTGTCACATTAATTACTTTTTATCCCTAGTTTTTCTTATAATAATTTTTTCTTCTTCTCTAAATTGGACTATATATGCTCGTTTTCGTAAACACAAATCTATTCTTTCAAAATTAATTCTATCAAAATTTAAATTAAACAAATCCTTAATCATGTTAAGGACTAAATTAATTTATATTCAGTTTAGTATACTATTGAGAGTTTAAGTAAAAAAATTTGGTATGAAATTTATATAACTAATTTATTCATTAATTTTTTTACTTTCATTTTTGAAGGTATATCATCTAACCTTTAGTCTTTCAAGAATGTTATCCCTACATGAATTATTAGTGACACTGCTCGATATTAGGGCGCAACAATAATGATTTGGTGAATATTAACAACACCCCTTACAAGTTACAATACTTTCTTAATTATCACACTTATTTCATATGAATTTTACTAAATAACTCAAATCCATCCTTTAACCCACATGAAATTTACGTCTGGTGCTATAATTTCTGAGAAGGCCATTTTATTTTGTTGAAAACGAACTGAAAACAACAGTACATAGGATTTTTGTTTTGTTGATAAGGAGCTGAAAACAACAGTGCATACATGTGACATTGAGAAGGGAGGGTTCAATTCAAAAGACAAAAAGGAATGCAGAATCTAAATTTGGAAATAAAAGGGACCTGAAATGAAAAGGAACACATAAATTATGACGGTACCCAGCAAATTAAAAAAGAAAGAAATTAAGGCGGTGTTCTTCTTCGTTTTGTCTGTGTCTTTATGGATGCAATAATATTAATGCTCACGGTGTGTTTCATGCACATTTATTTTTGGATGATCAGTTCACGTCAGATTGAGCTGGCCAATTTATCCTTTTCTTCACTATCTTGAACTCTTTGTGTTTCAATCTCAGTTCCCCTTCGCTTCTCATTTTATGATTTACGTAAGAACAAGGAAATCAAGTATGTAACCACTTAGGTGTTACATTTAAGCTTATGGAGTACGGTTTTTCGGGTAAGAAAATGAAAGCATAGTGTAAATGCCAGTTAAAAAAAAATACTGAGGTGTGGGCTTGATTGCATTCTCCAAAACTTTAATTTAACCACTAAAATCTTCTTAGCAAGGAATCCGATTTCTTTGAAGTTTGTTCTGGTTAATTATCTCAATATGTACTATATATACTAGCTATGTATAGTAGCATACGTACCCTACAGATTTTAATTAAACAAGCATATTAATTTCGATTAAAAAAAAGTTTAATTGCTGTGGGGGTACTCAAAAGAGTGCAAGAGGATGATAATTCAAAGTGGAAATTAAGTGGAGGCCATTCAGAACCTTGCAACTAGGTCAAATCATCTCAAATATGAGAGTCACATATTTGAATCGGTAGTACAGAAAAATAACTTCTTTCCAAGGGAAAAGAACATAAGTATTTATTTTTTTAAAAAAAGATATTATAAACTAGTATGATTGTAGAGAATGAGTGGTGGATGATCGAAGTCCGAGCTGGCAACAATTACTAACAGCTGAACGATCATTGTAGGTCAACTTCTACCATTTATTGTTTTCGCACAAGAGCAATTATACTCTTTTTCTTTTTTAAAAAGAATTATTCTATATTGCCAATTAGTCCTCAGTTGAAAAATACTCATTACACGTTACTCATATCTACATCTTTCACATTAGGGGTAAGTTACGGTATAAGTGTCCAGAAAATAAAATAGGGTCACCTCTAATCAAATGATAAAAATTATGCAGATATTTATGAGATAATGTTTTGTGTAAGTGTATGTTCCATTATAGAACTTGGTTATATATATATATATATATATATATATATATATATATATATGAGAAAAAAATTTCTCAAGCAGCTTGAGATAAGTTTATCTCCGGCTATCCCAGAACTACGTCGTTTTATTTATTTATTTTCTTATATTAATTGATTCACCTTTGAATGATTATAATTCCCTTTTTATCTCTCTTCCTTTATCACTATTGATCTATCTTTGTACGGTTATGATTTAGTAGTCGGAGATAAGATTAT